TACGAAAAAGGGGTTGAATTTGCACACTTGTTTTCTCTTTTTGTATTTCTCCTCGTGTTTTATAAAGTATTTTTATTCACCACCCTCAATAATAATCATCATCACACTTATTATTATTATATAAAATTAAATTTTGAAATATATATAATGAATAGATACAAATCTTCAAATATTGTATATAAAATATGCCGATGAATTATATATATTGATATACAGCTGGTGATCGATGAGGGACCTTGCTAATCACAAGTTTTGTTTTTGCTCTCCACTTGCTAGAACATCTATCATACCAACTTAGCCAGTGTGCATTATTATTCATCGGTTTTGTTTCTACGTAAGTTAACGTGTACTCCAGTACTTGTGTTTGTACGTGCCAATTATTCAGTTTTCTGACAAATACTTGGGAAACATTTTCAGAGTGTTTGTAGATTTACTAATTTTACCATCTTCGGCACGTGTCATTGTTTTTCTTTTTGGTTAATTAAATTAAAAAGGCATTTTAACTAAAATTGTGTCTTGTAGAGATGACAACGGTTCGGTTTGGGGACATAAATGCTCTATCCATTCTCATAATCATGAAAATTAACTATATTCATAACCGCAAATTAATCATCAGGAATTATCTATAACCATATCCATCGGGTAACATATTTCCCATCGGTTAACGGTCAGTGGCGAAGCTATGAATAGTCAAGGGGAGGGGCGGAATTTAAAACAGAAAAATGTAGACGACCAAATCATTGTAGATAGTAGATAATATTAATGTAGTTAATAGTCAAGGTTCTAACAAATGTTAGACGCTAATCGGGAGGTGAATTGGGGATTAGACCCTAGACAAAGGTATAATTGAATTTAAGTAAATTCATTATATACCATATAAACAAATGTCTTACACCTTAAAAGGATTATACTTGTATTAGAGATTCAAATTTATTTTCTCCTGTTTATTATTTAACATATAAAATACAAGAATATTAGAAATTTCACTTTACTATTTTAATGAATATGATAGTATGAGATGAAAGGTATTACTAGCTAGAATGGATTATACATTTCTAACATATGTGTGATACTATCAAAATTTTATAAAACTCTAACCATAGATTAATTAATAAAAAATGATACTCTGAAATCTTTTGATAATATTGACAAAAATTAAAAAATGAAGAAAAAAAATCAAAAGTGGCTTACAGCTGTAGTTCCATTGGTAGCCACAACAAATCAAAACTGTGCGTTTCAAGTTAAATAGAAAGCCATCTTCTTCTTCCTCGCGACTCATTTGAACTGCCGCTACTACAACAGTCGCGGCTCCGGCTCATACAGAAAAGGCCCATATTTCGACTAAATCTTCGATATTCGATGATAATACCTGGGTTTCTTTTCCGGCGATAGGCGCAGCAGCAGAATCAAAACCGGAGAGCAGCAGCAGCAGAACCAGTCGAGTTTTCCTGCAAGGGGATGAGCTGAACCAGTGCTCCAGTCCTGTTTTCCTGACGAGGGGAGTGGCGGCCGCCACCTCGCCATCACGTGGCTTCACCACTGTTAACTGTTATATCCATCTTCGTTAAAAACAAAAAATTATAATCATACAATTGACGCACAATAATTTAGTAGATAATAATTTTATCATCAATTAACCACGTCTAATAATAAGAAACATAACAATGAATGAATTTTGTAGAGTATACAATAAAAGTATTGAATAAAACATTGATGATGTTAGCTGTTGATATCTCCCATAAGCATGATGTTTGATGTATAATGAATATCGGGTTTGGTGAATACTATTATATTATATACTAAATATATTATGCAATGAATAATGAATATGGTAATAATAGTATAGGTGCATTCAAACTTTTAAATATATATTATATAAATTATATTCATATAATATATAGTTATTTGGTTATGAGTCGGGACGGATACGGATTGGAGATTTCTATACCCATATCTAAAACCATAACCGAATAAAGTTCATGGTTTTTCCCTATATCCATAATATACCCGAATTTTCATACTTAAATCCGCTTCATTCGGGCGGTTATCCACGGTTATCGAGTCTAATTGTTTGAATTGACATCCCTAGTGTCTTGGAATAACTCTTCACTTTGGTCCTTGAAATTTGAAATTGATGGAATTGATTCGTGAGTTTGTTAAGGTTCTAAAAGATGCTAGGCGCTAGTCGGGCGGCGGGCTGAAGCCTAGCGCCTAGGTAGATAGATGGAGTCTAGGCGGACTAAGCGGATTTAAGTAAATCTATTATATTTCGTGTAAATAAGTGTCTACTTACCTTTAAAATATATATAATTTCATCATAAACTACAAAATAGAATGACATATATTATTAAGTATTGGAACATAATAAAAATATGGGGAACAAAGATATAATGTGTGTTTATTTAAGTATGTAACAAGTCTCTTACAATTTATTGAAAAAATAAAATGCAAAATGAAAGTGATATATTTTATGTCTAAGTGAGCCGTGACCTAAGCGGATCTCTAGGCAGTCTAGGCAGATGGCTCAACAGGTCTAAGCGTCATTTATTAATTTTCAAATGCATAGATATTAATTAGAGCGGTGGCCAGCCGTCTAGGCGGAAATTTTTAGAACAATGGAGTTTGTCTACCATAAATTATTTTTTATCATTATGTGAAAAACCTGTTAAGTGAGGATCAAAATACCAAAAATGCCCTAATTGGACCCAAAAAATTTGAGAAAATTTGAGAGTTTTTTTTTTTTTTTTTTTTTTTCATTTAGGTCATATTTAACGTAGATTATTCACATAATGATCAAACTGTTGACGGTGAACAAACTCAAATATCACTTTTATCCAATGTTCTAAAAATAAGCTTAGGTGCTGGACGGTCGGTTACAGCCGCGACTTGATCTTAATCGGTGACAAAATCAGAAGTATGTTAGGCGGACCGCCTGGAGAGAATTAGGCAGGACTAGGCGGGATTGGGCGGGATCTAGGCGGACGTATGTGGAGAACGCCGGAATCTGAAAAAAAAAATGTTCGCAGCGGCTGTGTTTCCGTCCACCTTTCGCGCGACGAAGAAGACTGTTCCTGTTTCACCCACGTTTTCCTCCCTTTTATCTCCTTAAATGGTCCCACCACTTATCTTTTCCTTCTTTTATTTATTAACCCCTATTCGTCAATTCCAACTTCCTTTTTTCAAAACCAAATCATCGACTCTTTATGTTTTATTCTTTTTTTGGTAGTATTTTATGATTATTTTTTTAGACCACACCATAAAATTATGCAACCTACACATATATTTTTGAAAAATATCATATAGTAAATTGAATTAAATTATATTTAAAACAATTTTATTTAAATCTGCCTATACCCTCACCTAGACTCTGCCTAGGTGCCTAAGCACTAGGCTCTAGCTTGCCGTCCGACTAATGCCTATCGTTTTTTAAAAACTTGCTTTTATCGATTTTAAATCATGGAGACAATTTTGACTAAAACCAACTGAAATTGATAGTGATTTGCTACCCACCTATTGGAGTATAGTTGTAAAGGTACGAGGTCCTAATCAGTTGATTTTTGATTCGTCAAGACTTCCTATGATAAGGAAAACAAATAAAAACAGCTGAAAATTTTTGAGTTTTAATCAAAATGACAAAAAAGTGTTGTAAGTGAATAATACAAAAAATGATTTTTTAAAGTAAAAATGTCATTTTCGTTAAAAGTGAAAAGTACCTATAATGTTTTGTTAAAACTTCCAATTATAACCCATTATTGTTCCGTACATCAATGTCATGTTCCCATGAGTTTATGCAATCTACAATTACTTGACAAAGGAGTATAAAATTTCTAAAAAATTATTCTTCACTGATCCAAGGCTTCCATTGTTCATGTGGGTTTAATCAATGTCGTGTTCATGCACAATATCGAACATCTTAATCCAACCTGAGTATAAGTCGTTCCTATCACGAGGTTTAACATTACCTAAAATATAAGTTCCCTAGGATTACTCTCACAATAATTAGCATGTCACGTCATATGAATAACTCTCAAGTTGCTCGTGTCACAAAGTCTATTTTTTGTCGGATTTGTCAATGAATTAATCAATCCCAATAACAAATATCAAATGTGTTTAATACTTAACAAATCGGTATGAGAAAAGTAACAAGCATGTCAATTTTAACAAACTAATGTCAACGGCGACGTGATTTAGTTAAACGTTGCAATGCATTAGACCAATCAAACCCCCATAATTAAACCAATAATCTTATATTTCAAAAGAAAAAAAAAAGAATCATATGAACCCACAACCAAAACAAAAAAAAAAAAATCTTATTTGAATAAACTCGTTACATTGGTGCATGAGGATTTACATAAATATGGATTGAGATTATCTTAGGATCTCAAACTCTAAAGCTGATGAACTCAGTAATCAGAACCATACAATTTAAATTATGTGGTCCTATTAGTCACATCACATTAACCCACTTTACTCACAAAACTATGCCCTCATCTCTCTCTCTTTCTCTCTCTCTCTCTCTCATGGTTCAAATTGCTGAATTCGTCGGTCTAGAATTTGAGGTCCAGAGATGATCTCAATCCCATAAACATGGCACCCAATACACAAATTGAAAAATGGACACCCAAAAATCATGATTTTAATCAAGCCACCCATTGGCTAAATTTGACTCCCACCTCTTTGAGCCCATCTTAATCCTCAAAAAAAAAAAAAAAAAAATAAAAAAAGCCCATAAGATATCACGCTTTTCCTGCTTGCCACCTGCCCATTATCTCGTGGGAAGGGTGGCCTTTTATGCAGGCTTAGGATCCTCAACTCTTATGTCTTAATAATTTTTTCACAAGTGATTTTCGCACGTACATTCGGAAAAAAATCTGATAAAAAACAAATAAGAGCGCTTAAAAAGAAATAAGAAGTGTGTAAATATTGTTTTTTCTAATTTTATTAATTCGTTATTAGTTATAGCCATAAAAATTCACACTCCCACCTAAAACGCAAAAATAATGGCGGCAGTCTTCTTCCTCTTTCGTCTCTCAATCTTCTTCCTCTCCTCAACATTCACCTCCACCGCCTCCTCCTCCTCCTCCTCCTCTCCTCCTTCATATCCAGACGGTAACAGTCTCCCCCATCCACAGTCACACACAGTAACTATTAATTTTGGGTTTTCCCGCCAGCCAAACCAGCCCGACTGTCTTAACTGTCACCCAACTGTCTTAACTTTCTTGTGTCACAGGCAGGGCCGGTCCTGAGTTTTTGGATGCCCGGTGCGAAAACTCAAAATGTGCCCTTTTTTAATACTGAAAAATATGTTTAAAACAAAAAAATTTAACGAGGGCTGGAATAGTGGTGATGAATCTCAGTGGTGATGAATCTCTTTATTCTCAATAAGTCGAAAATGCTTTTGCATTATTGGATCAAACTCTGCAATCATTTCAAGTAAACCTAAGAAATTGCCATTAGAGTCTTCATAAGGTCTTTCATTTGTTCCACGAAATGCTAAATTATGTATGGCAAGACATTTCACAACAGCAATAATTCTAAGCATCACTTGTTTCCAATGATTTGTCTCTTTCTTGATTCGCAATTGAAATTCTTTATCAATTGTCTGATTTTTTGTCAATCTACTTTTCAACTCAACCTAAGTTCTCGAATTAATGAGATGCTCTTTACTCTTTTCATGTTGATCAAGCTTCACACCAAGATGTCTCCAATCACTAATTCCATCTTTTGCTAACTCACTTTTTGAGGCAATTGTTTTAAACAATTTACAACAAACGCAAAAGACTTTATCCAACTCTTTTGAGTACACGAGCCATTTCCTATCATAAATTTCACCCGTTGGTAATTTTCGATCATAGTAGTGTGAGGAAAATTTTCTACAGAGTTTGTCCTTAGGATAAATGATATTAGTTTCTCAAATTGGTCCCTTTTCTACAAGTAAGTCTCTCATTTCTACATTAAGACCATCCCAAACTCTTGGATCATAAATGTTTAAATGGAAAATAGGTGCAGGAGATTCAATATTTTCCTCTACACCAATATCATCACCATCAACATTTAAATTCACATCACCACCACCACCATTTTCATGGTCTTGAGACTTATCACCAACATTTTCTTCTAAATCACTATTATTTTCATGATCATGAGACTCCCCAACAACATTTTGTGACTCTTCACACAACATTATTTTCTCTCAAAATTTTCAACTGACTCATTTTTTGTAGAGAAAAATTTATGAAGAGATCCTCTTAAACTTTCGGCAATTTCGTTATCCTTTGCCTTTTTTTTCCTTTTCATATTACCAGAGAGTTGTTTCCTAAAAGACATGGCTTCGATAATTTGTTTGCAAAAATTACCTACACATGATATAACAAAAATTTCCTATCAAAATTATCATTCTAACACATATTATATATTATAAAAATACAAACATATAGTCTAATATATTATAAAAATTAAACCTAAAAATTTGGTTTGAAATGAAATCAAATAATTCAATTCATCAACAACAACAATTCTATACATCAATTATCATATAATTCTATATCATTTGCAAAATTTTATATTAAATTATGAATTGATAAGTCAAATTTTAAAAATTAATTTACCTCAAAACTCAAAATGATTGGTGGTGAGTGAATGCTTTTGGCACTTGCACTTGCAGGAGCAACTGAGGAGGAGGGACAGGTTCTGGACTGGACTGTCGACTGTGAAGGGGAGCAGAAGGTCAGACGGCAGCAGGGAGGGAAATATTAGGAAAGGGGGAGTGGGGATATGGGAATAGGTATAGGGTTTTTGGGGACCGAGTGGTCCTTTAATGTTGTTTTGTATTACTTTTTTTTTTTTTTTTTTTTGTGAAGCCCTGGACGTGGTCCTTTTTAAACCTACCTTGGGCTCTTGCCCTCCAGCCGGCAGCCCTATCTGGGCTTTGGACCTTTATTTTTTATTTTTTTAATACTTAGTAATTTGGGTTATTTTTGTTGGTGCCCCCTTTAGTTTTGGGCCCTGGACAGTTGTCCTTGTGGCACTGGGCCTGGGCCGGGCCTGGTCACAGGGCGCTCCTACCGGATAGATTGCGGTAGCCTCTCAGTTTCCATCGACTCATTCAACACCACCCGGCTCTCCGAAGGCTTATTCACCGGCGGCGCTATCTCCCCCGTCTCCGAACCCCTCCGATTCCGCCAAACCCACGAGAAGACCCTCTGCTACTTTCCCCTCTCCTCCAGCGAAAAAACTGCTACGCCATCCCCAATTTGTCCCCCGGCCGATACTTCATCCGCACATTCACCGTGTACGACAACTACGATGGCGAATCCCACTCCCCCTCCTTCGACGTCTCCGTCGTGGGCACTGTCATCTTTTCCTGAAGCTCCCCTTTGCCCGATGACCTCGCCCGAACCGGCGCATACTCGGATTTATTCGCTTTCGTCGCCGACTCCAACGCCGATGTCTGCTTCCACAGCATTGCCAATGACGCTCCCGTAATCGGATCTCTCATGCTCGTTCGGGTCGACGAGACCTCATACGACGGCGTTTCCATCGGCCAAAACTACATCCTCGTAAACTACGGGCGGTTCTCCTGCGGCGCCGATCCGTTTGGCCCCGGCTTCACCAACGACACCGACCTATTCGGTCCACCGGCGCCGATCCTCAGTCCGATCCGTTATCACGATAAATTCGATTTCCGACGTCGATCAAGCCCCGAACTATTTCCCGGCCAAACTGTACCAATCGGCGGCGTTTGTCGATGGGGTAGGAGTCATAGTGTACGAATTACCGGTGGACGCGGAGCTGGACTACTTCTTGCGGCTACATTTCGTGGAAATCGATCCGGGAGTGACAGAGGCGGGGCAGAGAGTGTTCGACATTTTAATCAACGGCGAATGTCACTCGGATTGACATATACGAGGGGGTGGGGAGCTTCGCGGCGTACTCGTGGAGTTATAGAGTGAAGAACTTGAGCAGTGCGGTGTTGACAGTGGAGCTCTCGTTCCCGCCAATAAATTATCATAGCCAGAGGCCCAGCCCAGAGCCAAAAAAAAGAAAAAAGAAAAAAGAAAATCTGCTTATTTAAATAAATTCGTTATATTTGTGAATTTTGGAGACATATAATCCTTTCCCATACATTAACTTGTCTTTACCTAATGTATATTTGGTTAAAATATCCAAATAAAAAATAAAAATTCAAAAAAGGTTTGAAAAATTAACAGTTAGATTTTACATAGATTTCATACCATTAGACTGCATGTACCATTATACCTAGACCGCCATAAAATAACATATACTATAAACTCGCATCTTGTTTGATGTCTGTAATCGAAATGTTAATTCGCTATATTCAAATACTAGATTCTCCATCGGTACAAATTTTGATTACTGATTTTGAATGTATATCTATTTCTAATTTCTATTACTAAAAACTTAAAATGCTTCATGCACACTCAAATCACTTTCGAGTTCAATTTTAGTTCCTTTGTTCTCATTCTTGGTTATTAATGTAACATCCCACATCGTCTAGGGGAGTGATCTTTAAATGTATATTCCCATCCCTACATAGCACGAGGCTTTTTGGGAGCTCACTGGCTTCGGGTTCCGTAGGAACTCCGAAGTTAAGCGAGAAGAAGGCCAGAGCACTCCCAGGATGGGTGACCCACTGGGAAGTTGCTCGTGAGTTCCCAAAAACAAAACCGTGAGGGAATGGTAAGCTCAAAGCGGACAATATCGTGCTACGGTGGTGGAGCGGGCCCGGGTAGTGGTCTGTCCCGGGCCGGGATGTGACAAATGGTATCAGAGCCAATCCTTGGCCGGAAGTGTGCCGACGAGAACGTCGGGCCCCTAAGGGGGGTGGATTGTAACATCCCACATCGCCTAGAGGAGTGATCCTTAAATGTATATTCCCATCCCTACCTAGCACGAGGTCTTTTGAGAGCTAACTGGCTTCGAGTTCCGTAGGAACTCCGAAGTTAAGCGAGAAGAAGGCCAGAGCACTCCCAGGATGGGTGACTCACTGGGAAGTTGCTCGTGAGTTTCCAAAAACAAAACCGTGAGGGAATGGTAAACCCAAAGTGGACAATATCGTGCTACGGTGGTGGAGCGGGCTCGGAAAGTGGTCTGCCCCATATCGGGATGTGACAATTAATCACGTGATAAAAGCGACAAATGTTGTTTAATTCTCTTGGAAATAAAGAACACTAAACAGAAAGAAAAAGAGTAAGTGGGTGACAATGACATAACCAATTGGTGTCTGTATTTTGTAGAACATAATTATTTCCTATAGAAAACAAGAAATCATAAACGCGAGCATGTCACGGGTGCGCAGAATTGAATACAGGCCTACAGTACAAGGCCTTACCAACCAGATTGAGAAATTTCTCATTATAACCGAAACACAAGTGGTACACCACGTGTTTTTATATAAGTGGTGGAAAATTTTATTTTTCAATTTATTAACTTTTTAATACACATATTATATCATTTGTATAATAATACGTGATGTACTACTCTATATTCCACTCACACCTGAAAATCTCTTCTTCCTAACAACAAATCATGAATACAATTCTTTTTTTTTTTTTGAGAACTGAATACAATTCTTTAGATGGCCACGTGCACAGGTGTTCACCTTTTTAGAAAGAGAGAAAAAAAAAATCATCCTAAGTATTTATTATTTCGGTTAATTACGTTGTTTAGATCATCTTCAACCGAATGGTTCAGAAAGTTAAAGTGCCGAAAATAATCCGAAAACCGTTTCAAACTGAAGATTAAGCCAAAGTGCTCGTGGGCATTACGGGATAAAAAAGTGTCAAATGACCAATCGGCTGACCATCTTTAGCCAGCCAGCTCGCTGGCTAGCCTAATTTTTTTTTATGTTTTGTTCTTTTCCATTTGCCCAACCCACTTTAGGCTTTAGGGTTTATGATTTTTTTTGTCCTTGCCCACTTTTCTTTTTTTAATCCCACCCCACTTTTTTTTTTTCTTCTTAATTTCTAATTTTTTCCTACATCATTTCTCACATATTTTTCACAATTTCATACTATCTTACCTCATTTTATTTTAATTCTTCACATTCCATACTATAGTTCTTTGACTATCGGTTGGAGATGATTTTTTGTCACATGACTATGTTTGGCCAATGATCCTCTGACATCTGGTTTGAAGATGGTAAAAAATATAACCCTGTATTATTCATTAAATTATTAATTTTTTGAAAGATGAGAGGACTAAAACCAACCCCCTGTACACTCAAACTTACTAGTCGAAATCTGACCTCCATTTTACTTTCCCTCCCGGTAATCTCGCCACCCTTACCCTCCAAATTTTTTCCGTCATTCTGTCATCATGTCCTAACACTCCTTCCCCACTCCCTTCCCACCCATAAAAACGGAAGAAAAAGAAATGACTGCCGTCGTCTTCCTCCTCCTTTCCATCTCTCTCTTCTCCTCCTCCACCTCCGCCGCCTCTCCACCGCCTTATCCCTACGGTAGCAACCTCCACACTCCACATATTATACTGACCAACCGCTTTAACTAACTCTCTAACTACTTCTTTCTGTAACAGGTGGAGTCGCCTACCACATAGACTCCGGCAGCCCCACCGACCAAACCGACCCATTCAACACCACCTGGCTCTCCGACCGCTTCTTCACCGGCGGCGCAACCTCCGTCGTCTCCGAGCCTCTCCAATTCCACCACCCACAAGAGAAGACCCTCCGCTACTTCCCTCTATCTTCCGGCAAAAAGAACTGCTACATAATCCCCAATTTGCCCTCCGGACGCTACTACATCCGCACCTTCACTGTCTACGACAACTACGACGGCAGGTCCCACTCCCCCTCCTTCGACGTCTCCGTCGAGGGCACTGTTGTCTTTTCCTGGCGCTCCCCGTGGTCCGAGGACCTCGCCCGCAACGGCGCCTACTCGGATCTCTTCGCATTGGTCGCCGACTCTGAGGCCGATATCTGCTTCTACAGCATTGCCACCGACCCTCCCGTCATCGGATCGCTTCAGCTCATCCGGGTCGACCCGGACTCATACGACGCCGGTTCCATCGGAAAAAACTACATTCTCGTCAACTACGGCCGGTTAACCTGTGGCTCTGATCAGTTTGGCCCCGGATTCAGCAACGACACCGACCTCTTCGGCCGCTCATGGCAAAACGACAAGGATTTCAGATTCACCGACGCCGTCTCCGAATCCGCCGTCCGGTATGTCTCCACTAGAAACACCATTGCCAACACAGACCAGAGCCCCAACTATTTTCCGATGAAATTGTACCAATCGGCGACGGTCGTCGACGGCAAAGCCCTGGAATACGAATTGCCGGTGGACGCGAAGCTCGATTATTTGTTGTGGTTCCATTTCGCGGAGATCGATTCGAGTGTGAAGAAGGCGGGGCAGAGAGTATTCAACATTCTCATCAATGGCAAGAATGTGAATCGAATTGACATATTCAAGGAGGTGGGGAGCTTCGCGGCGTATACATGGCATTACACAGTGAAGAACTTGAGCAGTAGTGTCCTGAATGTGAAGCTTCAGAGTGTCGCGGGCGCGGCATTGATCAGCGGGCTCGAAAACTACGCTCTGGTTCCTGCTGATGTTGCCACTGTTCCAGAACAAGGTATTAGTTAATGACAATTAAGTTATTTGAGGATGATGATAGTTGAATTGTGATTGATATGACTAACTTAGGAGCTTATCCTTTGTAGTGGTTGCTATGAGAGCATTGAAGGAATCGCTTCGTGTTCCCGATAGGATGGGGTGGAATGGTGATCCATGTGCTCCGTCCAATTGGGATGCTTGGGAGGGAGTTTCGTGCCAGCACGATAAGAATGGAACTGTTCTTATCATATCTGGAATGTAAGAGTTTTATTTTCTTGATCAAAAGCATTGAAGTCGATTAAAATCGATATGTGAAGTTGTAAATCTACCTGCATTATCCATTCAATTAAGTGTATCGTGCATTTCAGCGATCTTGGAAGTCAAGGATTGAAAGGGTTTATCAGTGACCAGATTAGTCTCTTGTCGAACTTGGTAAGCCTGTAAGTATCACCGGCAAAGACTAATTTTTGGTGATTCAACTTGTTTAGAGTAGAAGTTTATACTATCTTGTCTTTTGATACAATACTACAGGAACTTAAGCTCCAATTCTTTGGAGGGCGTATTACCATCTGGGCTAGGCCAAAAAAGTCTCAAACGGCTGTAAGTCCCCCACTCATTTCCGACAATGTCAGTAGAATGCTTTTGATCTTTGTTGTGATTGATTTTTTCTGTTTATGTTCTTGTGTAACTGAAAAAAGTTCCGTACGCACTTGACTGACCATCTAACTGACATTTTCAATTGTTTTTTATGCTCTTGTGTGACTCAGAACTGTTTCATTGTTAGTATGCATGATTTTTCTTCAAATCGACTTCATATTTGTTAACTAGAAGTGTACCTCACTGTTAATGTCAGCAGTCGACTTCAATTTGACTTAAAAAGTTTCACCATACAAGTTATGTGGTAATTGGGCATGTCTTTCTCTTTTGCTGCACTTTGTGAAACCAGGCTGTCGTATAGTTTGAACTTTTGAAATATTGGCCTGAAGTTCGAGAAATTTTCTCTTCCCCCGTTTTCTCTGTCTTGATCAAAATGACATTATCTAAATAACAGATTTAACAGTTAAAGTTATGATGCTCATTTTTGTTGTCATAACAGCTCCAATGTGTTTGTTTTATTATCATCACTTCTATTGATTTATTTTCTGGAAAATTATCCTCCTTTTGCTTGTCCATCCAAAACCATTGTAATTAAGTATGCTAAGTGATGGATTTACCTTCATATGTTGACATTGCCTGATATTTTATTTTTACTTTCTGGTTCTTCCTTGCTTCCTGTGAGTATTTATGTTGTTAAATTGGAATTTGTAGGGATTTGTCGAACAATGAATTTACTGGGCCGATACCACAGAGTTTAATTACTTCGAATCTCCAGCTTTTGTAAGTGTCCAGCTTGTGCATTTGTTTCCATCGTTTGGTTATGGAGCTCTTTGCATTGTGTCTTAAGTAAACTAACACTATCAACCATATATAGAGGAGGCCAACTGAAGAACAAAGTAAAAGAAACAATGTTTTGATTTCCAATATCCCTTCCATTTCTTTATTGCTTTCCTTTTAATACGCATTCTCCGTTCTCAGGCTATTGAATAATAACTTATTGGAAGGCAAAGTTCCAGAGGAGCTCTATTCTATTGGCGTCCATGGGGGAGCCATTGAGTATGTCACGATATAATTGGATATTCTCACTTTATATATATATATATATATATATATATATATATATATATATATATTAGTACACATTTTGATGAAGCTGCACATTTCTAATTCTAACTAGTGCTACAGTCTAGGTGTTAACATTAATGTTCAGTGACCTATTTATGATTATTACATGTGTTGCAGTTGCTAAACTAATGAGCTACTATGTTTCTTCGACAGTCTTTATGGCAACAAAGGTTTGTGCGGCGTACCATCTTTACCTGATTGTCCTCTGTTTTGGGAAAATGGCGGCTTATCTAAGAAGGGTAAAATTGCGATAGTCGTATCTTGTGTTCTTGTTTTCTGCCTGGTTGTGTTGGCGTTATACATATTCTGCATCCGAAGGCGTAGGAATGATTACGACTTCAGCCTACCTCAAGACTTAATGGGTAAGTATGAAAGAATTTCAGATTGTCATTATATATCTTATATTTTGTTGTTGATATTTCATGCTCATGCTTGTTTTCCATCTCACCAACAGTAGCAACTTAATTGCAATTCACATAGTGGTGTTGTGTTTGTTGCAATCTTCTACAACCGTGTTTGGCCTTTTCAGTGAACTTGAACTTTTTAAAACCGTTCTACCCGAAATTCTTTTAATGTGCGATGTTATCCCTTAACTCCAACTCTTTCAAATTAAGGCCGTCATTTGAAACATATAGGTATTTTTGTAAATGGACACAATAGGCAATAGCGATAGAACAAACTCCGCACTTGCATATCTAGGCATCGTTGTCTTGTCGAATCAGATGGTATATTACGCATTCATTTTTTCCGTTTCTCCTGACGGGTTTTCCCTTCTTTCTTTCCCCTTCTTCCAGCGCTTTCTGCCAAGAGAAACAGGTATCAGAGACAGAAGTCCCTGATGCTTCTTGAAATGGAGAGCCAACATGCCAAGGCATCAACTCCATTGACTCCCCAGTAACGGCGACGCAGAGTTTTCTCTAAGCGGAAAGTAGCAGCGTTAACATTTCACTCGCCAAGAAGATATACGATGGGGGAAGTTACGGGATTGCGTTCGTACAAATTTCTCAATCATGATGCGCACCAGCACCCCTCCGCTTCACGAGTTGGCTTCATGGTTTTTGCATACGTTCGAGCAGTTTTTTCCGGCACAAGGTCCTCCCGAAGCCAGTCCGCGCTTCAACAACATATCGGAATTTTTTACTTACAAAAAAAGTGCATAAGGCCCGAGCCATTATACCCTAAGTTTACGAGTTTATTGTTGGATATATTGTTGTAAATTTATAGTTGCGTCCTTGAGTCCATGGAATTGGAGATATTTTTCAGTGTCCGATAACACATTCCGGTTACCGGTACATCAAGTGTCATAATACAATTTGTTAGAAATTATTTTTTTAAAAAGTTTTTAAATAATTGTATTATTACATTTGATATACCGGGTCGTATTCGTGGTGCGAGAATGGAACTACACATTTCGAAACTGGTCTCTCTTCCATTTCTTTTTCCTACATCATATATAGGGTATATATATCACTGATTTCACTTCCCAAAGTGCAAGATTAGCTCCACCTCGACAATCATGCAAAAGTCAACATTAATTAGTACTAATTAATCACAAAATTAAGCAGATGATAAGCACGTTTCCAATCAGTGAAACCCGGCGGCTGTGAAACAAGGACCATTTGTTTATTTATTTATTTATTTTTGTCAATTCAATCAATTTTTGTTTTTTTCGGATTAATTAACAGCGTTGGAACAAAGGAATCTCTCATTGTTTCACACGTGACTTGTGACAAATTTTCAAATAATTAAAGTAATTAAATTAGCTCCCGATGACCGAGACTCGTTTGAATAATGAGATGGGATTAAGTGTTAAACAATTGATTAAACATAATGCATGCATTCTTAATTAACTGTTTAGGCAACAGACGTCCAGGTCCTGGGCATGCAGCCCACTTGTACTCTCTTTCGGCAGACTTTTGGGTCATGGGTCTTTGTTTCTTCGACTGCTTCTTATTCTTCTTCTTCAGCAGCTTGTTCAAAAAGAATAGCATGCATCATCACGTCTTCAAATGTTGGCGATTACCAAATATCTCATTGGAACCATTAGCTTACTATATATAAAGATCTAATAACTTTAGTTAGGATTAACCTTGATGGACTTTTGTGATATGGTTAGTCAGTGGCAGATCCAGGATTTTAAACTCAGGGAGTCTCAAAGGTCAAAAAATTTATAAATAAAAATAACATCGAAAAGTTAAATATAATACATTTCATTCAAAAATCATGTGCAAAACAACATTACAAGCTATAAAATCCTAATTCAAACGTCCACGACAATGTTTCATAATCTGAAAATGTTCTATGATAGCTTCATTACCAATACATGAAAAAACATTTTTCTCAATGTAAACAATTAAGTTGTTACTCAACCATTGATCTCATTTTGCTGAGAAGTGGACCCTTAATGATATTCATAGAGGAAAATGCCATCTCTACTGAAGTGGTTGCAACCGGTAAAACCAAAGCCAACTAAACAAGCAAATATACATATGCAAATGTTCGATGCAACCCTTTCTCCACCATTTTCTTAGCAAGCTCATTAATCCCCCGCAATTGAGAAAAATCATTATCAGAACACACAAAATGAATGTAAATATCAAGTTGATCTTGAAGTGCCCATCTATCTTGATCTGTGAAATCTTTAGGATACATTTGAGCAAGGAAAACAAGCTTCTCTTTATCAAAAGCTACAAATGAATCATTCGGACTCAAACATGCCAAGCAAATAAGCAATTCGGTATTACCTTCAGCGAAGCAATCATCTAATTCTGTAAGTTGGAAATCAATGACCTCAAAAAAGAGCTCCACTTTGTAATGATGACAATTGGTCTTTCTTGGAGCCTTACACAATGACTTCCCTTGAATGACATATAAATCATCCATATTAGCCACCTCAATTTCATGTTTAACACAAAAAATGATACTTTATTAACCAAAAGATCAAATTTTTCATCATTCCTCATGCAACGTGGTTGTTCTTTACATGTTTTGACTAAAGCCATTGCATTTACAATCTCTTAATCTTTTTTTTGCAATGCTTGTGACAAATTGTTTGTAACTCCTAATATGGATTTCATCAAAAAGAGGAGGAACATAAACTCAAAGGATTGTAAATCTTTTAATAACCTTTTTGCTTCACCATCACTATCATTGTAGCAATCTTCAACAATCATGTCAAACACATCCACCACAGATGAGAATGTTGTAATCAAACTAATCAAAGCATCATAATGTGAATTCCACCGTGTATCCCCAGCACGTTTGAGACTAATTTCTTGATTTAACCCTTGCCCTGTTTCAAGACAATCATTTTCAATAGCTTTCATAAGATTTTCTTGTTGTTTATCTCTAAGTGCATCACGACGCTTACATGAGCATCCAACAACATTCACCAAACTATTAGTCATTGTGAAAAAAGCGCCAATATCGAAGTTTTTCTTTGCTAAGGCAACAAGAGCTAATTGTAGTTGATGAGCAAAACAATGAACATAGAATGCACAACTTTCTTCATCCAATTTTTTTTTAAGGCCATTGAACTCACCTCTCATATTACTTGTGCCATCATAACCTTGACCTCGTAGGTTGGAGTAGCTCAAATCATGTAGTTTCAAGAACTCATCAATGGACTCCTTTAGTTTACTTGAAGTTGTTTCGATAACATATTGGACTCCCATGAACCTTTCAATTACTTGATTTTTGTTGTCCACATAACGCAAAATCACCGCCATTTGCTCTATTGTTGAAATATCACGTGATTCATCTACCATTATAGAAAAGAATTTACTCTCTTTCACTTCTTTCATAATAGCCTTAATAGTTTTGAAGGCACATGAATTGACAATATCTTTTTGAATTGAATGAGCTATTAGCTTGAGATTTCCCGGAGCATTTTCCAACACAACTTCCTTTATTTTCTCATCATGATCCGCAAGGAATTGCAAGAGCTCTAAATAATTCCCCCTATTATTTGAAGTGTCACTTTCATCATGGCCATGAAAAGGAAGGCCTTGTCGCAACAAGAACTTAGTGCAATCTATTGATGCATTCAAGCAAAGACGATATTTCATACACCCTTCTTTTGATTGTTTGATCACAACTGCTTCAATATGTGTCTTTTGGTTCATTAGATAACTAGCTGCTTCTCTAGCTTTATTGTGGAAACTACCAATAGGACCAACATGTTTGTCAAAACATTCTCTTGCATTCTTTCATTTCTTAAAGCCTACCCCAGTGAAGGCATCGCTTCCTAATTGTGAAAAGTTGATTTTAAAGAGATAGCAATGAAGACAAAATGCCGCATCTTTAGATATACTATACTGCAACCAATCATATTCTTCAAACCATGAAACAACAAATCGTCGCTTTTTCTTTGCATGCAAAGTGTATGGGAACTCATACTTTGTAGGCCTACAAGGTCCAATTTGCAAATATGCTCTTCGGACCTCATCTTGAATATTAGAAGGATAGTCCTTCATTCGAATTCTTTTTCCTGGGTCTCTCTCAAGATTATTAAAATCAATGTCACACTCATTTTGTTTTGAGCTCGAACTACCCGAACAAGTAAATGGTGCTATTGGCTTTGGCTTGAAAAATGTTTCCATATTTCTTATTTATAAACTACACATTTAAACAAAAACACAAAATATATACCAATCAACCAATAAACAAAAATTCCATCTAAATTTCAATTATAAAATGAGTATACAAACATAAAACTTATCAACAATCATATCAATAATAGACTAAAATCTCCACCAATATCTAATATAATTTAATTGAGATTAGATTAGAATACCAAAAAACTTACTTGAATTTTGAACCAAATAGTGGTGGCTTGGAGAATTGAAACAAGTGGAGGTATGATATTGGAGTAATGTAATGTAATTATACTATGGGATTGGGTGGGATTAGAAATTTAGGGGTTTTGGTGAATATAAGAAAGATGGGGATTAGGGGAAAAAGCAGAGAAACGGAACGGGGAAAGGAAAGGGACTCTCGGGAAAGATGGCCCATGTGGGGCTAGGCATATGGAATCATGGACAATTGACAAACGGCACCGTTTGGCGTTTGTCTCATTGGCTTTAAAAAAAAAAATTAACAAATTGGGCAAAACACTGCATTTTGGACCAACTTTTTAAAAAACCCTGTTTTCTTTCTTCTCCCCCGCAGCCCCGCTGTCTTCTTCTTCGTTGCAAGTTGCAACTTGCAACACATACCTCGTGTTCTCGTCGAGGGGTCCCCCGGAAAATTTCTAGCAGCATTTTAGGATAACCGAGGGGTTCTGGGACCTCCCAGTTCCCATTGTGGATCTGCCTCTGTGGTTAGTGGCAGATCCAACTAAGATCTGAACTTTGGTAGGCACAACAGAGACCCGTACCAAACATTTGGAGGGTCCTCAATAGACCTTCACTTCACATGCATATTTTATGGACTCCGGATGATCCTAAGACCACCTAGGTCCCTATTTCCATCCACCTCTTGATATTGTCAAGCAAAAGGTGCTAGCGTGCTCCTAAAAACACCATTTGACTCTTTACATGTAAGTCATTAATTATAATTTATATCCATAATTTTGAAAACCCTAATATCTTCATCTGTTTGGTCTACAAACCCTAATTTCTCTATCAAGCGACAGGGCTGGTATTCTGTATTTCATTTATCTTGATTAACGTTTTGCATGCAATTTGCAGCTTTTGGACTTTGCAAACGGTCCAATACTCCAACTGGGCAAGGTTTGATTGAAATAGTTAATAAAATTTCCAAACTCCTACAAATGAGTAGGTGGAGCAGCATTTGGAGATTTTGACTTTTAAGATACAACCAACCAGAACCAGATATAAAATTAGAAAACGCGTCTTCCCTAGTTGACATTTCTTTCTTTTATATAAAGTGTAGCCTTAAAATAAAGACTTGACAAATACATGATATTTAATTGTTGATGAATTATTATTATTATTTTTCGTATTTTCGAGTGAGATTTCCACGTCCAACCACTACTCTTTGATTAGACAGATTTGGCATGTTGTAATGGACGTTAACCTTTTGATGGTTTCATGACTAACCCTTAATTTGATGCATCTCTCGCGACTCGCGTGCAAGATAGTTTTCGCAGAGTTTGATTAAGTTGTGTGGTGAAATCAAATTCTGACACTAATTCATTGTTAATTTCTTAAGAGCAGACGTTGATCATATAAAGCTGAGAGCGTGATTCTCTTTTTTCTAAATTTCTTCTCATTCCCTCTCTGCCTCTCTCATTTTTCTTTATGTGTCTCTATATAAAGAAGTTAATACAAAAATGTTAATATAGTTTAGTCGTGATTGTTCAAATAGGAAGAGAGAAAAGCGGAATGAGTTTTTGAAAATGAGAAAATCATAGTCCATAAAACTCCGACACTGAGTGTATATGCCTAAAAACTCTGTAAACCGTCATAAGTTATGTGGTATTTTGCGTTAAGATGAAAGTTGAAACCAAAACCGGTCACCACCCAACCGGTTAACCCTTGACTGAGATAACCCATAACATTCTTTTGTTTTTCAGATTAATCAAAACCATCAAACTTGTTGGCTTCTCCTAATTCAAAATAAATTTATAACATTTTCACACATATATATATATAATTTGCCATCTGCCACCGCATAGCTGAACTTCCAAGTCAAACAGTGATTAATCTTCCTCTAAGTGCGGATTAGTCCAAACTAATTTACAACCCATTGACTTGGTTGACCTCGTTTTGAGATGGATTAGTTCTTCAACACTTTAGCTTCTGGTGCACTCGTTTAAATTTTCTATAGTTTTATTATTTTTCTTAATTAAATAATTCATCATTGGCTTTTTCCTTTAAAAAGAGAGAGAATTGGTAGCAAGTTATAGTTATCCATTATTTCTGGTGGCCGGGAAAACTCACATAGGCATTTCAGCCTTCATCTGGCTACAAGTCTGACTTCCATACCAACAGTAGGTTTCGAATCCAAGACTTTCAGTTTTTAATTTGAAGAAAGTATTGTAGTCGATATTTTACCACTAAACCACTAGCTCGTGGTTAATTATTCATCACTACCTGACCTCACCCACATAATTTAGGCAAGTGTGAGTAATATAAAAACAATAAAATAAAATATTAATCAGACAAGAAAAATATTGTGAAGATAAATAAGTTGGCAGGTAGTGCCAGTGGCATGGGGAATGACGTGTTATTGGGGGAGAAAGATAACACTTATCTGCAAGAGAGGTGGATTGTCTGTCTTCCCATTTTTATACTCTTCTCATAATCTTTTATTTGTGTGGTTAAGCCACGTCAATATTTTATATTGATTTTTTTATAAAAATAATAAAATATAAAATATTAACTTTGTTTAACCGTAACCACACAAAATAGAAGGTGATGAAAAAAGTATAAAAATAAGAGGGCAGACAATACACCTCAATCTGCAAGATAAGAAAACAAAAGACAGTCACGATCAATCTCAATATTTGAGGATTGAGGCTAAACTATTTGCTGATATAATTTTGTTGCTATTTGGCTCGTATTATTTAGGTAATGGTGGCCAACTACGACCCCCAAGTGGCAAAGTCTAAGTTGACTACGTGGCCTTCTAGTTCTTTTATACGTGCCATGTCGGCAACATAAATAACCTCACATATGGAAAGAGATCATTTCCGGATCCCTTCTTCCTAATTCATTAAGTTTGGGGATTTGAACCATTGAAATTTGATCCAACGTCTACAAATAAGGATCCACTTTAAAAGTTATAATAACTTTAGCCGTTAGATCAAATTTCAAAAGTTCGAATCCCCAAACTTGGTTGATTAGGAGAAAGGGATCAAGAGAGGATCTCTTTCCCTCACATATACTGACATACATGCACCCACTAGGGTTTGGTGTTTGAAGCATAGCACTAGCATTATCTAATGATTTCATGCATGTGATTCGACAATATAATTAGTTGGTCATTCTTTACAAAGAAGTCACATGGGAGACACTAATTTGGGGACAACAGATCCATGGCTGAAAAAATCGACTGCATGTTTGTTGTTCCCAATTTGATGTTTGCTTCATGTGTCTCTTTTTCGTTTGATCATCATGTATCCTCTTACTGAACGGAGATTTTAATTGTTTTAAGTCTTATTACTTTGTGTTGTAAAAAAAAAAAAAATGATAGAGCCAAAACTTCCCAATAATACAACCAAGACCCCTCCTCCTCGCCGTCGACAAATCTCATTCTCTCTCTTTACTGTCTGTCAACGGAAAGAGAACAGCTGGTTCAAGGAATTCCAACTCTCGACTATTTTTGAATCGGACACTCGTGCTCGATTCGATTCGTCCACTCCAATTTGACTTGATTGATTGACTGATAATTACTAACACATTAAGAATCGGCGTACATACTCGCCGAAGACAACCATGTGTGTATTCGCCATAGAAGACCATATGTAATGATTCCTCAATTTGTTGTGGGTGAAGAGGGAGGAAGAGGGAGGCTCGCCCTAGATTGAAGCCACTTCTTTTGCTTATCCAAACGAACATTACCCATTTCCTCGACGTGGTGACTTTTTTTCTTTCCTTTCTGTAGTTTTTGGGGCGCACAATATGAGATCATACTTGAAAACATAAAGTTCAATAAAAAATAAAATAAAATTCAATCTTGTGGGTGTTATATGTTAAACTTATCTTTGTCACATATTGTATGTTGGTTTCTAGCGATTGGCCATTTAATCAACTAATTTCTACATATACATACATACATATATATATATATATATATATATCCCTTCAATCTTTTTATCTTCAAGCATCCATATCAAAGATTCCCATATATTTTTTTCAATCAATCAATAAAAAGCATCCATATCAAAGATTCCCATTTTTGTTTCCGACACCAACTAGTGACTTGCTACGGTAGTATATTTTTTTGAGGGCTTAGAAGATATACATATGTACTTTAGCTTATCTCTAACTACTATTATAACTACGGTAGTATATTTTTTTGAGGGCTAAGAAGATATACATATGTACTTTAGCTTATCTCTAACTACTATTATAAGAATCCAGTATGTTCGTGTGAAATAAAAACTTAAAATTCGTCCCCAATATCACCCTGAAGTGATTTATGTAAAGTTAATTTGACATGGAACATGTTGAGAGGGTATGAGGTGGCGTAGTGATCTTCAGTACACCATCAACTGAAAATTGCCCTAATGGCTTGGAAACTGCCGACACTAAGCGTTAATATACATAAATCACTATTCAGATTAACACAAAAATCTTTAATTAATTTAATAATTATATAAGAAACAGATAAACACATACTTTTAATTAACTTTTGATATCAGTGTCACTAAGCACTGACTAGATTGGGATATCGTGACATGTGAATTGAGGTTCCTCGTCACTCCGCCCACTATATATAGTAATTTCGAATTAATCAAACATTAGTTATAATTAATTTATTAATAAAAGGTTAATAAAAAAGGTAAAGCACCTGAACAATGTCTTAATTGGATTAATTAAGGAGCGGATATATATTAATTAAATGTCCTATTGTGAAAAGGATAGGCATTGTGAGGCTGCTACCGAGTAAGAGATAAACAATGTAAATTTTATATGGAAATGGAGATTAGGGAGGACCAGTGAGAGAGCTACAAACTTCGAAACAAATTAGTGCATAAAGATAGGATCATATGAATTTGCATATATCTAAATATTATATACCTATTTGTTATCAAATTAGGTTTAGAAGAAAGATTAAGACCAGGAAGCTAAGAGTTTGGTGGGATATAATATAGTTAAACGTCGTCTTAATGATCTAATCATCATGTATTTAATAGTAACTGAGGTTTAAACACACTAATGTGGCCATCTACTGAATGATGACCTAATCGCTTGGCAAATTAATCACCATACAAAACCAAAGAAGTTTATACACCAGTGTAGTTTTAGTATGCAATGAACTAGTTAGTACTTGTATTTAGGGTTTTCAAAATTAAATAAGTACGTGGTTGTATCGTACATAAACCGTTACATGACACAAATTTATACGAGAAATTGTTGATTGGGTTCGGGTTATCTATTCAAAATTAATAACTGTTGGACACATAGACAATAGTGGGTAATTTAAAGATGTATTGGACCACATAAGTAGTTGAACTTGAGCTCTCTTCATTCATTCGCTTAGCATTTGTCAACAAACGATCGGTTAATATGTAGTTTGTGATCAACACTACACGAATATGAAAAGATATAACCTGTTGTCTAGATGTCGTATTTGTATAGAGTAATGTATTGTACAATCAAAACCCAAACAAGTTGCCACTAAGTACTATAATATAATAGTATTCATCTTCGCTTGTAAGTAAAATATCTTCGGTTCAATTATCTTCAAATGCGAGTTTGAACCACATTATTGGTAGCTTATTCTGAGGCTAAGCCTACCTTCTCCCTCTTAATATAGATAATATCATTTTTCACCACTTAGTACTACGGTCTAGTGATATTCTTCTTTACTGGTAAGTGAGAGATTTTAAGTTCGATTATCATCAAAGACGAAAAAAAAAGAACCAAACAATTTTATTGGAGAGGATGCACCTCAAACACACCAAATAATTGATGCTAAGATTACCCGTGACCGGCCAGCATTTATATTCTTGAGTTCCCACTTGTAAGGAGTGGCGATAACATAACGGAAAGACAGGACTTCGAGAATACCGCACGTCCGTTGTTTTCGGGAAAGTAATTAAGGGAAGAAAAAAACAATTAAAAAGGAGAATTACACGTAAATACTCCGTATTATCCGAATTAAAAATTAGGGAGGAATCTAAAAGAAAGGAGGACCCACGTTACAATCAGAACAAAATAAATCCACATAGGCAAACCCCAAAAAAGGCTGACCCACGGTCTTCAGCGCTCCGGTTTTGGCAACTTGCATGCGGGACCCTCGGAAGACCGTGGACTTAAAACGTATAATATCACGATTCACTTCAAATGAAATCCTCACCTCTCTTATATTTTTCAGTGTGACCGGTATACGAGATGATATATACAAATCAGGAGCAGAGCCACCAAGGGACTAGGGTAGTCTCTGGCCCATCCTGACTTCATCTGAAGTGTGAACCTCATGGAAGAAGATGAAGAAAACGACGTCGTTAAACTGTTTTGATTTTAAATCTTTTCGGCTATCTAATGAAATGATAAGTTTGGCAGGAGAGTTTCAAAAGAGATGTGCAATTTTAAATGGAAAAAGCAACCCCACTTCTGGTTCGATTCTCTCACCTAACAGTAATATACACCTTATAATTTTCTAAACCAACCCACCTTCTTTATTTGCAGACCTCCCCCCCCCTTTTCCTTCTTTTTCTACTTCTTTGTATTTTTTTTAGCCTTCCACAACCTACCTCTTACTTGGTTGTCTGAGTTTTTATATTTTTTTCTTCTTAGTATTGAATTTAAGAGAATTTTTTTTCAGTTTTGTGAGGATTACACAAATTGCATATGTCAACATGTTATGAATTCAACTTTTTACACACACTCATATATATATATATATATTTGTGAAAGGCCCCTCCTCATTCAAAATTCTGGCTCCGCCACTGATACAAATGATGAGATATGTTTATTAAAAAATTAATAACTTAAATTATAAAAAATTTTACCACTTATATAAAAACAAATAATGTATTTTTCGTGTTCTGATTACAATGAAAAATTTCTCTATACCTCACCTCCTCACCCATTGTATTAGTCTTCTATTGGTCCATGTTAAACACACGTAATTGGTCGGACCCACTGAATATTGGAGAGCAAGTTTAACACCGTCTGATTAGCTTGTCTGTGATCCCCATCCCGATCAAACCCAAATCCCAAATCCAGATACAAAGGTTGAACCTAGGCAATAAGACAAAACATGAGAGTAAAGGGGTGGACGAATCACATCAAGCTAGATAAAAGTATGGAGAGGTATTTTTTAGTATGTCGAAAATACAATTCAATAAGTAGTTGAGAATTTTCATTTTAAGTATTTAAGTATTTGTATTATGAAATATAAAGTACCAGATTGTATTTTTTGCAAGAAAAATCTCTCGAGCTAGGGAGAGTTGTAGAGCGAGAAATGAGAATTTCTTGTTGGATGAGCCTTATGCCCTTTTGCCTTTGTATCGAGACTTCAATTTTCCAATGCCTATCCAATTCCAATCCCCACACCTCTCTTTCTCGCTCATTGATTTAACTCTAGCCCCACAACCCATCCTATAATCCTACTCCAAGTGGAAGGGAAGCCTTGTGTCATTGTTCATCTACTTTCTGATTGAAGCAATAAAACCAAATGCTAGACTTTATTTGCATCCATCTTCCCAATTAGCCTCGTACAGAGTCGAAATGAATGAATAACCATCGTTCGTAACTAGTTATCATTTAAAAAAAAATATATCACTCCATATTATTCATAACTCATATAAGATTCACATGTTCAATTATGACGCATTTTCTAGGCCAACTGATTACATATAGTCGACGAGCATTCTGTCTTCTATTGACTTAACCCGTATCTACAATTTTGATTTTACAATACATTGAACTGATATAATTTTCCATTCATTTATATAATAAATTAAGGAGATGGTAATAGGGAAGAGGCCATGCTAGAGGGTGGGTGAGCAGAGAGACAGGAGAAATGTTTTCCAGGGGGGATGAACTTAAACTAAAACACCGTCCGCACTCGTACAAACCCCATCAACTTGTTTCCTCGGGACCCACCTCACATACACAGCCCACAACCCACACATACTATGAGCCGGAAAGGAATACTTTTCGAATCCCTTCTACCAAGTTCATTAAATTCACTCATATGGATCATTAAAATTTGATCTAATAACTAAAGTTATTATAACTTTTAAAGGAATTTCCTGTTTGTAACTGTTAGATGAAATTTTAATAATCCGGATGGATGAACTTAATGGAAGGGATTCGAAAAGAGGATTCCTTTCCCTATGAGCCTACCTAGCTAGCTATCTAGTATCTACCATCCACCATCCCCAAGCCATGATATACTGAACAAAATAATAATACTCTCTATTTCTCTCTCTCACTCACACACAATGAACCTTCTTCGCTCTTTACCATCCCAATCCTTTGGGTTGACCCACCACACCCCCGTCCCCACATCCCCATATTCCCCCTCCTATATATATCTAACCTTCAAACAATAACATTTCATCAAATCCTCCCTCCCTCTCCCTTTCCCTCTCTCTCTCTCTCTCTCTCTCTGTTTAAAGCACCTTCTTATCTGTCATTCTATCTCTCTGTCTCTCTCTCTCCTCTCCACCTTCGAACACACAACATACATAATCAACGAAACAAGAACAATGGATGGAGTAAGTAGCACAGAAGAGAGCACAACCAGTGACTCCATATCCATTTCGCCACCCCATCATATTGTTACACGTGTGGAGCCACTTGCCAAGTCAGCGCCCCAAGTGGACAGCCTCTGCCGCGTCGGCAGCGGGGCCAGCAGCGTGATTCTCGACTCCGACCTCAGCAGCGGCGGCGGCGGCACTGGTGGCGTGGAGGCCGAGTCCCGGAAGCTCCCTTCCTCCAAGTACAAAGGCGTGGTCCCACAGCCCAACGGCCGTTGGGGGGCCCAGATTTACGAGAAGCACCAGCGCGTCTGGCTGGGCACCTTCAACGAAGAGGACGAGGCCGCTACGGCCTACGACGTTGCTGCACAGCGCTTCCGCGGCCGCGACGCTGTCACCAACTTTAAGCCCTCCTCTGACGACGAAGAAAACGACGACGTCGAGGCCGCGTTTCTGAGCTCCCACTCCAAGTCTGAAATCGTCGACATGCTGCGAAAGCACACGTACAATGACGAACTGGAACAGAGCAAGCGCAACTACTTCTCTTACGGGAAGCGGGGCCAGTCCAACGGGCCGCTGGGCTTGTTCGGGACGGACAACAGTCGCGTCCAGAAAGCGCGTGAGCAGCTGTTCGAGAAAGCCGTGACCCCCAGCGATGTCGGGAAGCTGAACCGCCTCGTGATCCCGAAGCAGCACGCCGAAAAGCACTTTCCGTTGCAAAGCGGAAGCACTGCAACCATAACGGTAAGTGCATCTTCCGCTTGCAAAGGAGTGCTTTTGAATTTTGAGGATGTCGGGGGAAAAGTGTGGAGGTTTCGATACTCTTACTGGAACAGCAGTCAAAGCTACGTGTTGACCAAAGGATGGAGCCGGTTCGTGAAGGAGAAGAATCTGAAGGCCGGGGACATTGTGAGCTTTCAGAGGTCAACCGGACCGGACAAACATCTGTATATTGATTGGAAGACCAGGATGAGTGTGTATAATAACAGTAATGGGTCGAACCCGGTTCAAGGTCAGGTTGCACCGGTTCAGATGGTTCGGCTATTTGGGGTCAACATATTCAAAATACCTGGGAGTAGCGGGGCTGGCCCAGTGGATGCTGCAGCTGCTGCTGCTATTGGCGGCGGTTGCAATAATAATATCGGCAAAAGAATGAGAGAGATGGAGTTTTTGAAATTAGAGTTTAGCAAGAAGCCTAGGATCATCGGAGCTTTGTAGAATTTTTAAAAATTTTCTTTGTTTTTTTTAGCTTTCTGTGAAGCTGCAAGAAAGGTGAATTGTATATTAGATGACAAAAAGAATAAAGCTGAGCTGAAGAAAGCAAAGCTTTTGAAATTAGGTGCAACAAATTAATTTGAAAAAAAAAAGAAGAAAAAATTAGTTTGAATCTTCATTGGATAACTGTCAATTTTGTTGTTGTTGTTTCTCTTGTTAGCTAAGGCAAGTGCTTGTTGGGTGTTTTTGTGGCTTCTATCTGATTGGTGGATTGCTTCCTTAAAATATCTCTCTAATGTTTGATTTGTCAAGAGAGGGTAATGTTTGATTTGTCAGAGGGAGTAGATTAAGAGAAATTTTTCAGTATGCTCGAACGAGAAATATACAATTAGAGAAAAATTTGAAAAAAAAATTATTCTTCAAATATACTATTTGGCTTCAATTGGCCAATAAGAATCAACCATTCATTGCTTCTTTTCACACTTTTTGGCACCTTAATCGATGCACTATATATGTCTCTAATAATTATTATCTTTTTCTAAAGTGAACAAGTGGAAATAAATATAATGAGTATAACTAGCCACAGAGAGGATGCTAATTATGAGCCGTATGGGTAGTTAATAATTGATTATATGGAATGGATCAAACTAGTAGTGATACAAAGGATGTACTCGAGGATTGGAAAAAAAATACCAGGAAAAATCGAACTTCATAATCTCGAACCGTTCAGTAATTGAAATCAAAATTTATCAAAAATTTCGGTATTCGGTTTCTATGAAGGATTTGTTCGATAAAATTGAACCGAACCAAAAATATTTTTTTAAATAAACAAATTAATATTAATCGTTGGACATTCGTTGAGATAAAATCTCATCCCTCCGTTTAAAATCAACTCTCTCTTAGGTCTTCACTATTTTTTCTCCTTCTCGCCCCAGGCACCACAAATTAGTCACCACCACCAAGATTCCTCCTACCACCCCCCTATGGCCGCCACCACCACTGCATTTTAGGCACCAACAATTATTCCTTCCTCCCATCTTAGTATTCAAAAATCTCTTTATAATTCTCATCAAATAACCCACTTGCAGATTGAGTCTCTCTCCAAACAAGCCACCACCACATCCCCACGACCTCCATCTCCATCTCTCTCTCTCGCACCATGACCTCCAAGCCACCACAACACTATGATCTGCTCTTCGACATAGACCATGCCACCGATGTGTCCCTTGCCTTAAACGGCCATCGGTATCAGTATCGGTTTTGAAAACTTAGGTTTGGTAGTCGGTACATGTGTTTCGTTTGCTACAATATAGCCTAAAGGTTGCGAGCTGTAACATAGAGGATATTAAGCTTTGTTACTTGCAAGTTTACTCTCAACACTGCCTTAGCATATGAAGCAACTAATCTCTCCATAAGAATCTAAGATGACAAAATAATTGTGGTGGGGTACGTACAAAAGCTGGAGAGGGATACGTACAAAAACTGGAGATCTTGTACTTCACTTGATCATTCAGCGCCGCATGTGAAGAGACGTGCTGATATTAGCACAAAATTATCGATATTTCTGTCTAAATATCTTGAAAAATGAAAGATTGATATGGAAAGGGGGTTTTTAAATGCAAACTTCATCTTATATCGGCGAGATATAAAAAGATTGATAAATATCGATGAGATACCGCTTTACTACATAAATTTTGTCATAACCCATTGCAAATTTTGAACTTTTGAATTTTTTTTGAGAAATTTTTCTTTAATTTCAACTAAATCTAAATGAGTTGATATACCCAACCTCATTGCAAATTTCCATAAAGGCAACCAATATCAATATCAAAACATCTATTGATATTTCCATAAATTTACATATCGATATATTGATATTTCCATAAGTTTACATAACGATATTTTAGACACTGCTTAAAATTTTCATTCCATAATAAGTTTTTGCAATTATACATCTCTTTAATCCGAACTCCTTATCCAGGTATACCGTACGACATCATCGTCGATCGTCCGTCATGGCAATAAGAAAATATCAATCAGTGGTGCAGTCATCATTAAACGTAAAGAAATATCACATGCACACTTTGAAAGTTAACAGTTCTATTATTATACATAGCCAATTTATGTATACTCATGAGTACGGGGAGAAGTTTTTGACTGCTGAAGATACAAGTTAAGTTACGTGATGTTCTGTTTCACATGTTATAATAACAACATACAACATTGTTGATATGTTTCAATTTTAAGGTGTGTTAATTCAATAAATTAATTCTATGTGTTTGTACCATACTTGACCAATCCCGAAACTACTGAGCACCGGTCAACGTTACCGTCAAGGACCCAGAAGAGCTTCCCTTCAACCAGGAGGCCAATCACAATGCGACACGTGTCGACATCAGAAGCCAATCACAGCTCGACACGTGTCAACATCAGAAGCCAATCACAACACGACACGTGTCAATGTTAGAACAAAACTAGAAACTCTCTTCTATAAATAGGGATCATTCTCCCACAATAATCTCTAATGTCATTTTGTACTAAACTATTCACTAGAACTCACAAAATGAGAGCTTGAACCTATGTATTTGTGTAAACCCTTCACAATTAATGAGAACTCCTCTACTCCGTGGACGTAGCCGATCTGGGTGAACCACGTATATCTTGTGTTTGCTTCCCTGTCCCTATTCATTTACGTACTTATCTTCACAAGTGATCGAAGCAACCAAACGAAGGTCACAAACCTGACACTTTCTGTTGTACCAAAGTCCTCGCTGATTTTGTGCATCAACACTATGTATTATAATTTAAGTAGAAAGATAATGTCACATAATAGTATGATTCGTTTTGTAGAATCACATAAGATTATGTTTTCTTGATAATTAATATTTGACGAGTTCAAATGCCAAAGCATTTGTATTTTAGATAGTATTAAGAGAGAATGTTGACTTAAATCTCCATATAACCAATTGTTTTAATTCCGTATTTAGCTTTTAAGCAATAACATTACTTCCCTGCTTGCATAGTAACATGTCTTAGACTTTTCGTTAATACTTTCTGTGGTTCGTGTAACTTCCATAAAGATGTGATTATGTGAAGGAATATACAATGCCATGATTGATAATATATATCACGATTGAGATCCTTCTGGATTAATTAATTAGTTTTGTTAACTTTGGAAATTCCTCAGAAGAACAGTACGCTAGCTTAAAGGAAGGACATTCTGTCACATCCCGGGTCGTTCCACCACCGTAGCACGCTAGCTTAAAGGAAGGACATTCTGTCACATTCCGGGCTCGTTCCACCACCGTAGCACGATATTGTCCGCTTTGAGCTTACCATTCCCTCACGGTTTTGTTTTTAGGAACTTACGAGCAACTTCTCAATGGGTCAGCCATCCTGAGAGTGTTCTGGCCTCCTTCTCGCTTAACTTCGGAGTTCCTAAGGAACCCGAAGCCAGTGAGCTCCCAAAATGCCTCGTGCTAGGTAGGGATGAGAATATACATTTAAGGATCACTCCCTTGGGCGATGTGGGATGTTACAATCCACCCCCCTTAGGGGCCCGACGTCCTCGTAGGCACACTTCCGACCAAGGATTTGCTCTGATACCATTTTGTCATATCTCGGTCCGGGTCCACCACATGCCGGGCCTGTTCCACCATCGTAGCACGATATTGTCCGCTTTGGGCTTACCATTCCCTCACGGTTTTATTTTTGGGAACTCACGAGCAACTTCACAGTGGGTCACCCATCTTGACAAATGATATCAGAGCCAATCCCTGGCCGGAAGTGTGCTGACGAGGACGTCGGGCCCCTAAGGGGGTGGATTGTAACATCCTAGATTGCCCAAGGGAGTGATCCTTAAATGTATATTCTCATCCCTACCTAGCACGAGGCCTTTTGGGAGCTCATTGGCTTCGGATTCCGTAGGAACTCCAAAGTTAAGCGAGAAGGAAGTCAGAGCACTCACTCCCAAGATAGGTGACCCACTGGGAAGTTGCTCTCGTGAGTTCCCATAAACAAAACCGTGAGGGAATGGTAAGTCCAAAGTGGACAATATCGTGCTACGGTGGTGGAGCAAGCCCGGGATGTGGTGGACCCGAGCCAGGATGTGACACATTCAATCCAGAAAGTCTTCAATCTATAAAAATATGTGGGTTATCTAGAGAAGACTTTTGATCAATGAAAATCAATTTACTTCCAATAATATCTATGATAGATTTGAGTATCATCATGGAGGGCTTGGACTCATTTTTAAAAAAGAATAACTAATAAAAAAAGTTTGAAAACTTTGAATTTTAACAATAAGAACAAAATAAAGGGTAAAGTAAATAGTATACTGATTGACATTTTAGTATAAAAATGTGATTTTTCGTTAAAATAAACAATACCAGAAGTTTTTCGTTAAAATTCTTTTTTTTTTAATTCTATTATTCCTCTTCCCCCACAGATGATAAATAGCAACAGCCTGACAAGTCTTCTTTATCAAGTTACAGAGGTGTTTTTCCACGCCATTAAGAAGAAACTCATCCAATGAAATAATGCCAAAGCAAGCCTAAACCCAATCTCCCCACACTTCCCCTCCAACGACTCCAAATTCCACAATCGTAAGGACAATTAAAAAAAAAAAAAAACTAATGAAAATGGTTTGAAAACTTTGAGTTTTAATGATAAGGACAAAATAAAAAGTAAAATGAATACCATAAATGATTTTTTTGTGTAAAAATATAATTTTTCGTTAAAATAAACAGTATCAAAAACTTTTTGTTAAAATTTTCTAAAAAAAAACAGATGTTCCACTCATTCATTATCTGACAATCAAATAACACATCTAACATCAAAAATTGAACATAGGACTGAAGTCTATCTTTAATAGCCATTTGACGTTTGATAGCTAACCACAAAATAAAAGTCATCGTAGGAATATTCTAACCATACTAAACAATCTTATGTCACATAATAGTATGTTTCGTTTTGTAGAATCACATAAGATTATGTTTTATTCATAATTAACTAGCATATGGACATACACAAAATGTGTGAGAAAATTATATATTTTTGTTTTTGAACTAGAAGGAGAGAGGAATGGGTGGTTTGGGAGTGAGGTGCTTAAAAAAAAAGCACCCATGAAAAAAAGTTGTGAGGGTTTTAGGTGTTTGGTAAACTGAAAAAAAGGGCTTATTTTGGAAGCCGCTGTGAGAATAAGCT